GGGAAAATTTTTGATTTTGATTTAGTTTCTTAATTTTATTAATTAAAATAGAATATAAAATGATCTACACAAAAGCTGTAAAAAGTTAAAGTAAGCGGGTAGTCACTAAACTGACCGAGCTACCTCAGCTCCAATTCCACAAAATGAAATATATTTATACGTAAGTGTCACTCCCTTCGTAGTTAAAATGTCTGAATGAAGATCTCAGGTACATTACTGACATTTACACTGTACCAGTGTCAGAAAACAATCTCAGCCACTCAGACACTAATAAACCCTAAGAGTGCTGTAACTTTCTTAAACATTAACTTCTACAAATGGACCATAATGTAATCTATGTTCTAGTTTGTGACAGCAGAGAGAAACACATTATTTGTATGTCTCTAAAAGTGTAATACTGTACGCACCGAGATGATTTCAGTATTTTAGTTTTCATTCAAACATTCTGAAAATATCCATCCAGCCTATTTTAGCAGGCTATTTACACAAATTTTTAATAAAATATATGAATGGACAAATGAACTCATGAGCGTAGCATTAAAAATTGTATTTCATTTACATATTCCTCCTAGGTATTTAAACAAGGATCACAAGGTATTAAACAGAGCTAAACACACACACTCATATGTCACTTTTCATCTAAATTTGTTAAAGGACACAAAAAAATTATATGTGCATTTTGAATTATAGTCATGAAATAAATTATACTGAATCAAATTATATATACAGTGGATTCCGGTTACTTGGGACACATCGGACTAGAACACTTTGGCCCAATTAAGAGGCTGCCCCATTTATGCAAAATTCCACACAAAGAGTTACAAAGGCTTGTTCTTTAAGATTTGTCCCAAATAAACGGCTGCCCCGATTAACCGATGGCCCAATTAACCGGAATCTACTGTAATAATATTAATACAGAAATGCTGTATTCCAAGTTCAATCGAAATCCATTAAATAATCTAAGTTATACATAAATGTTAACTGTGGGTAAGTAAAGAGGCACTTTGCATAAATTCGTGTGAATGAAATTTATGTATGAAAACTGCTGCAAAATACAAGCATTATATACAGTTTCATTAAAATTTGCCAAATGACTATTAAATTTAAATTTGTCATCTCAATGCCAGTTGCCAGAAGAGGGGATATATCCTCGTATACTAACTAACTAACTAACTACCTGGTAGCAGAACCAGCAGGTCCAACACCAACAAAACCAAAGCCTGCCACCGGCTATGATCCTGAGCCAACTCCGTCCATTCACAATCCTCAAAGCCCACCGTCCTAAGATCCATCTTGATACTGTCATCTCATGTCCTTCTTGGTCTGCCCAGTGGTCGTTTTCCAAAGGATTCCCCAACAAAATTCTGTATGCCTTTCCCTCCATGTGTGCTACATGCCTGCCAACCAGAGCCTCCTAGATTTCAATGTCCTCACTATGCTAGGTAACCTGTACAATTCACGCAGCTTCTCATTAAGTAATATCCTGAATTCCCCACTTATTTAATCCTTGTTAGGTCCAAATATATTCCTGAGCACTTTGTTTTCAAACACTTGTAATCTACGTTATTCCTTCAAGGTAAGAGACCATGTTTCACAACCATACAAGACAACACATAAAATTGTTTTTTAACCTGATCTTCAGTGTTTTTGATAGCAGACAAGACGATAACAGTTTTTGTTTTGAATAAAAGAAAAGTATTCCCCGAATGTATTCTACTCTTAATTTCATCATAGACCTCATTTCTATTTGTTATGTTCTCAGATACTTAAATTTTAAAACATTTTGAAATGATGTATTACTTATAACTATGTTCCGCCATTCTTACTGATGCTGATCCGGTATTACGCCCGTGATTTTAGTTTCGTCTACATTTACTTCTAGCCCTACTTCCATGTTACTCTGTAGGAGAATTTCTATATTCTAGGTTATGGTACCCGCTCCATCCCCCAGCAAATTGACATTACCTGGTGCAGACCATTCGAGCCCTTCATAATGACATGTTCTAGAGTAAGATTAATAAGAATTGGGGATAAAGTACCCCACAGTTATAGGCCATTGTGCATTGGGAACGCATCCGACAGAAGGTTACCTATACGAACTCTACTAGATACACATCTTAATTAACCTAAAAAGTTTCTTTGGTATTCCAAACTCGATCAAAATGTCATACACATACACACAGGGTGTTCCGGGAGGAAATGTCAAGACTTCATCAATTGATTCTTGGGGCAATTCTAAGTAAAAAAATGCCATATCAACATGGGTCTGATTCGTAGGTCCCTGTATTTGATTTATAAGATAATAAAAAGCCGATCTTACATGACCATTTATTGATAACTGTCGAAAATACCAAATACAAGCACACTACATACCAGTATACTCGTTCAGAATGTTTTCTGCTGCATTTCCATCGCAAAATCCGTACACAAACAACCATGGCTGCGTATTCTTCATATGAGAAAACTGCCGGCACTGTTCGAAATATTACGCTAACACTACTACTGCGATGCACCTACTTCTTTACACACTGAATACACAACACAAACTGAACATACTCTGACTCACTGACCCAATCATAACAAGTCCCAACACGCTCCAACTTTTTAAGATCCGCACAGGTGATGATGCAGAGACCTGCATTATCTTTGTAACCGTTTACAATCAGACCCACGTTGACATAACATTTCTTTACTTAGAACTGCCCCCAAAATCAACTGATTGTCTTGACATTTCTTCCCGGGACACCTGTGTGTGTGCGTGACCCTCCGGGGCTCACATTAGTTTGTACGGAAAATGGGGATCCCGAGGTAGGGAAAATTTTTGATTTTGATTTAGTTTCTTAATTTTATTAATTAAAATAGAATATAAAATGATCTACACAAAAGCTGTAAAAAGTTAAAGTAAGCGGGTAGTCACTAAACTGACCGAGCTACCTCAGCTCCAATTCCACAAAATGAAATATATTTATACGTAAGTGTCACTCCCTTCGTAGTTAAAATGTCTGAATGAAGATCTCAGGTACATTACTGACATTTACACTGTACCAGTGTCAGAAAACAATCTCAGCCACTCAGACACTAATAAACCCTAAGAGTGCTGTAACTTTCTTAAACATTAACTTCTACAAATGGACCATAATGTAATCTATGTTCTAGTTTGTGACAGCAGAGAGAAACACATTATTTGTATGTCTCTAAAAGTGTAATACTGTACGCACCGAGATGATTTCAGTATTTTAGTTTTCATTCAAACATTCTGAAAATATCCATCCAGCCTATTTTAGCAGGCTATTTACACAAATTTTTAATAAAATATATGAATGGACAAATGAACTCATGAGCGTAGCATTAAAAATTGTATTTCATTTACATATTCCTCCTAGGTATTTAAACAAGGATCACAAGGTATTAAACAGAGCTAAACACACACACTCATATGTCACTTTTCATCTAAATTTGTTAAAGGACACAAAAAAATTATATGTGCATTTTGAATTATAGTCATGAAATAAATTATACTGAATCAAATTATATATACAGTGGATTCCGGTTACTTGGGACACATCGGACTAGAACACTTTGGCCCAATTAAGAGGCTGCCCCATTTATGCAAAATTCCACACAAAGAGTTACAAAGGCTTGTTCTTTAAGATTTGTCCCAAATAAACGGCTGCCCCGATTAACCGATGGCCCAATTAACCGGAATCTACTGTAATAATATTAATACAGAAATGCTGTATTCCAAGTTCAATCGAAATCCATTAAATAATCTAAGTTATACATAAATGTTAACTGTGGGTAAGTAAAGAGGCACTTTGCATAAATTCGTGTGAATGAAATTTATGTATGAAAACTGCTGCAAAATACAAGCATTATATACAGTTTCATTAAAATTTGCCAAATGACTATTAAATTTAAATTTGTCATCTCAATGCCAGTTGCCAGAAGAGGGGATATATCCTCGTATACTAACTAACTAACTAACTACCTGGTAGCAGAACCAGCAGGTCCAACACCAACAAAACCAAAGCCTGCCACCGGCTATGATCCTGAGCCAACTCCGTCCATTCACAATCCTCAAAGCCCACCGTCCTAAGATCCATCTTGATACTGTCATCTCATGTCCTTCTTGGTCTGCCCAGTGGTCGTTTTCCAAAGGATTCCCCAACAAAATTCTGTATGCCTTTCCCTCCATGTGTGCTACATGCCTGCCAACCAGAGCCTCCTAGATTTCAATGTCCTCACTATGCTAGGTAACCTGTACAATTCACGCAGCTTCTCATTAAGTAATATCCTGAATTCCCCACTTATTTAATCCTTGTTAGGTCCAAATATATTCCTGAGCACTTTGTTTTCAAACACTTGTAATCTACGTTATTCCTTCAAGGTAAGAGACCATGTTTCACAACCATACAAGACAACACATAAAATTGTTTTTTAACCTGATCTTCAGTGTTTTTGATAGCAGACAAGACGATAACAGTTTTTGTTTTGAATAAAAGAAAAGTATTCCCCGAATGTATTCTACTCTTAATTTCATCATAGACCTCATTTCTATTTGTTATGTTCTCAGATACTTAAATTTTAAAACATTTTGAAATGATGTATTACTTATAACTATGTTCCGCCATTCTTACTGATGCTGATCCGGTATTACGCCCGTGATTTTAGTTTCGTCTACATTTACTTCTAGCCCTACTTCCATGTTACTCTGTAGGAGAATTTCTATATTCTAGGTTATGGTACCCGCTCCATCCCCCAGCAAATTGACATTACCTGGTGCAGACCATTCGAGCCCTTCATAATGACATGTTCTAGAGTAAGATTAATAAGAATTGGGGATAAAGTACCCCACAGTTATAGGCCATTGTGCATTGGGAACGCATCCGACAGAAGGTTACCTATACGAACTCTACTAGATACACATCTTAATTAACCTAAAAAGTTTCTTTGGTATTCCAAACTCGATCAAAATGTCATACACATACACACAGGGTGTTCCGGGAGGAAATGTCAAGACTTCATCAATTGATTCTTGGGGCAATTCTAAGTAAAAAAATGCCATATCAACATGGGTCTGATTCGTAGGTCCCTGTATTTGATTTATAAGATAATAAAAAGCCGATCTTACATGACCATTTATTGATAACTGTCGAAAATACCAAATACAAGCACACTACATACCAGTATACTCGTTCAGAATGTTTTCTGCTGCATTTCCATCGCAAAATCCGTACACAAACAACCATGGCTGCGTATTCTTCATATGAGAAAACTGCCGGCACTGTTCGAAATATTACGCTAACACTACTACTGCGATGCACCTACTTCTTTACACACTGAATACACAACACAAACTGAACATACTCTGACTCACTGACCCAATCATAACAAGTCCCAACACGCTCCAACTTTTTAAGATCCGCACAGGTGATGATGCAGAGACCTGCATTATCTTTGTAACCGTTTACAATCAGACCCACGTTGACATAACATTTCTTTACTTAGAACTGCCCCCAAAATCAACTGATTGTCTTGACATTTCTTCCCGGGACACCTGTGTGTGTGCGTGACCCTCCGGGGCTCACATTAGTTTGTACGGAAAATGGGGATCCCGAGGTACCGTGTCTGGGGGCATAGCAGAGCCACCCTTCTCTGGGGAATAGAAATTCAGTGGCTCGGCCCTCCAGGTTGAATTTTGGCATGGGGTTTATAGCCAAATCCTGGGAAAAACATTAATTGAACAGAAACCTAATATGAGAAGACGGACGGATCTAACTGGAAAACGACCAACGCATGCACACTTTGAAGACGCCGACGAGGAAACAAAGAAAGCATTCTATGTAAAATAAAGACGAAATATTGAAGATATGGGTAGAATACTTTGGCAATTTCCTAAATCAACATATAGGAGAACAGACTAAGGCTAATGTAGAGGAAAAAAGGGGCCCGAGGTGCTATGAAGAGGTGCAAAAGGCCATTAAAGAGTTGAGGAACGATATGGCGCCGGATCTAACGGGAAAAAAATAGAGATCAAAGCCCGACTAGTAGATGGAAACAGATGCTATTACGCCCTCCTGAAATACGAATTTACAGAAATGTGTTCCGACCTACGGAGATGTACGGAGCCGAGACCTGGGTACTAACGAATGCTGATGAAAACGACCTCAACATCTGGGAAAGGAAGATCTTAAGGAAAACATATGAACCGATTCAGGATGCAGGAATATGGAGAATATGAACTGATAAGGAACTTTGTATGTACAGGTTACCAGACCTGATCATAGAAATTGAGAGAGGGCGACTCCAATGGTTAGGTCATGTTGAGAGAATTCCAGTCAACAAACTAACTAAAGATTTACAGAGGGAAGCCTGGGGGAAGGAGAAAAACTGGGAGACCAAGGATAAGATGGCTGGATGACGTGGAGGAAGACATCAGGAAAATGAGAGTTGGAGGATGGCCGAGAAAGGCGGAAGATAGATCGGAATGGGGGGGGGGGAAGTTTGAAGAACTCGTTAAGGAGGTTGAGTCCCTACAAAAGGGCTGTACTGTCACTTTGTGGTAGTATGTGTTTGAGGAAGGTGAAATGTCTGGTATCTTGTACCTTTCAATGACATCTCACTACTACCATTACTGTATTATTTTGCATAATATGGCCTTTACTGGGTTCATAATATAACTGACATAGTCACAGCGTAAACATGTTAATATCCAAGAAGTTTGCAATTAGGTTTGTAGTGAAAGCAGAATCATACACTGCTCATGAGGTGGTGTTAATCAGAGGGCAGAGGAGCTGCTTTGTTACCACAGAGCATAGTGAATTTTTGGGAGTTTCAATTTTGTATGTTCCAACAGGCAGGTTGTTGACATTTTGTTGTTTATTATTACATCCTGCGCCATTACCACTTTCCTTTAAGTTCCTCACCCCTCTTCTCTGCTAAACCCTAAATGCAAACTTTTGTGTCTTGAACCTTGAACAAAGGACCACTTGACATAACTTGTAAAACATCTGCTGCTGCGGAACAGACACTCGGCACTAGACCTCTGAGAGGAAATACAGCGCACTGCTGAAGCAAAGAATACATCAAGTGTATAGGTCTACCTGCTGGACAGATAATTAACATATGTCAGAATCATTTCTGAAATCTGAAAAATATGGAGAAAGACAGTGAAAATTCAAATTTTTACGAAAGTAACACAGTGGTGGTAGCCAAATGATTATTCAGAGCCAAAAGTTATATCAGACTAGTTAAAAATCAAAGCTTTTGCAAACAACACTACCATAAATTCTGCAGTATTCCTTTAGTCTAAATCACTTTACAAATCTTAACCAAAACACAAAATCTGAATATTGTGTAGTAGTGGCAGCTTTAAAAGAGGGGTCAGAAGTGTGCGCCATTCAAATATCAATGAAAAAAACTAAAATGTCAAATATTCTTGATGATGATTATAATAAATATATCAAAGTATAAACCCAAATGTAAATATATATTTAATTAAAATTATTGCTGTCCTTCTGCAAGACCATGACCCACCAACGCTGTCATAACAAAAATGAGATTTACCACTATTATTCTTTGATCCCCCCCATTTAAAACTTCCTACTACGAGAATTCTACATTTGTTACTTGTATGCTTCGTTACACTAATATTAATGCAGGAACTATTTCCATCACAAATAATCCTTCCTGAATCAAAGAATATCTGGTATTATATATATATAAGATTTTCATACAAGGAATCTAGTATCACCATGAAACATAAGAAACCATTTAATATGGATACAGGATCACTGAGCTTATTACGAAGCATTCTTCCTTCTGCCTAATTTTCAGTTTCGTTATATAGTTTTGGGTATACGTAGGTTACAGAGAAACCAGAATGTGTCTGTTATCTAATACAGTGGTATTTAACCCTTTTTTGTTCGCGTACCCCCAGATATAATTTCTCTTCAACTTTGTACCCCCAAAGTTGGTGTATAATTCAAGTTTTACATAGTATATAATCTACATCCAAAATAAATTAAATAAGTTACATCCAAAATAACATATTAAATAATAAGTTTTATATGAGAAAAAGGAGAATCAAGCTATTAAATAACAAATACATTATTGTCTATCATATAAAAATTAATAAAGGAACAAAGGAATTTTAGCAAAGCAAAATAATATGTTTAAATATTTTATCAATTATTAATTAATGTGGTTCAGACCTTTTAATGAGATGATTGAGCTTGTTTCTGCCGCCCTGATAAGAATTACATTAAGAAAAGAGAGAGAAAAAAAATGGCACTCCCAATTTGAATGTCCTTACGTCCGGTTCTCCTGTGGCTAACCCTAAATCTGGCCCTGATTATTCAGTGTTTATCATAGAATAATATATATATATTTTTTTAAATTTCACGTACCCCCTAACATGTCTTCGCGTACCCCCGGTTGAATACCACTGATCTAATAGAGTATCTGGAAACTCAAAGTTGGTAAACTGGTAGAAATTCAGAACGAGATACAGTTCATGTTATTAAAGTCAAAACTGTGGTTAAGTTATTCTTAGTTCAAGAATTTGTCATGTCGTGTAGATGCACCACATTATTTTGCACAAAACAATTTCCGACAGCATTTAAGATCTATTAACCCTTCACGTGATCAACCATGCTTGTAACAATTTCAAGTACCCAGTGGACATGATATCATGCAAATTTCTCAAATATGTGAGCATTCTTTCCAGATTTTCTTTCTGTATTACAAAGATTATTTATTATGTATTTACTTTCAGAATGCCCTTTGACCTGTTCAAATGTTAAGGGAGATCATGTCGGGAATTTTTCTTAATGTGAAAATATTAGTGTCAGAGCTGGAAAATATAGCTGTTAAAATTAATTTATATCATTATCGTAATTAATTTTACCGAAATTTTCTACTGCCAGTTATAATCACTGAGAATATACCTAAGACGCTGAAAATAAATTATTAACAGATTAACTGGTAGATTTATATTCAGTTAAACCACAATAGTTATTTGCAACTGTTGACACATAGGACAGTTCGCATACTCAATAACTATATTTTACACTACTCTAATCAAATATTTGGTAGCAGCATTTCCTCCAAACTGTATATAAAGTCATCCCAGTTGCCGGAGCTTTGTTTAAAAAGATGGAGGTCACGGTTAACAGTAAAATATCTTACGCATTCAGTTTTCTGATCCTAAATGTGAATGGCAAAAGGAAACAATTGTAAAGAATAAAATATGACGAGGAAATGAAATAAACTATTTTCCCCTAACCTCTGAACAGCAAAAACTGTGCCAAAATTAATCATTTTTGGGAAAGATGCCATTTCATTCTCTTGAAATGGGAGTCCTTTCTTGTATTCCTTCTGTAAAACTTTTAGAATTTTATTTTGTTCAACTTTATATACAAAGTGTATGAAGACGAAAGTATTGGACACTTATGTGAGGGCTAAATTTACCAGAGATGAAATTACGAGGATCTTTCAGTAACTGACAATAAGAGATGTACTGAAAATGACAATAAGTCTGGAGAAGATGAGGTCATTACTCGTAGAGGTCACGAATCTGAATCCAAGCAAGAACGCGATATGAGTTCCGAGGCGAATGAGTTATGAAGAAGACTACGGCAAGAAATAACTCAGGTATGTGGAGAAAAAACAATCTTCCTAAACTATATAAAACTAAATGCAATAATATCATCAAAATTCTTCTAGGGCTGATGGCAGTTTAAAGAGGAATTGCAGATTACATTTTTGACAGAATGGGATCAGAAATTCTGAGTATGCATGAGCTATGAAAGATTTTTATATCAACTGCATTTTCTGTGCTTCAATAATGAAGCACGGAGCAAGACCAACACAACCGAATTACACTAACAACCCTTTTTTGCCCAACTAAATAGACCAAAACTTCCTAAAGATCTGGATACCTGTGGTCATTTATTGTATACACTGGCAAGGACAGAATCAGTCACGTCTAATTTCTGTAAACATGAATAAAACAGCTACAGTACTGAAACCTTTTGAACCCCTGCTACATAGGAGAAATACAAATTGAATGGACAATATTTACAATTCTCCAACCCTGGCCAAGACCTAGAAATCAGTGGTTACTGATTGTGTGGGGACAATCAAAGCGAACAAGTGGGATAACATGGTATGACAAGAGATTGTGACTATGACATCAAACTTTCATAGTGACGAAACAAGAACCATTTCTAAGAGAGGGAAGAACAAACATAAGCCAGTTAGTGTGTGTGATTATAACCAACGTGTGGGAGGTGCTGATAAGAAACACCATCTGCTGCTAATGTATTTGATCAAATGCAAAAGAATGAATATGAAGCGGGGAATCGCTTGTTGTGTCCTACGTGACAGAAACACACGGCCTTCCTGCGCATGCACCTTCCCTGTACTGCACGGTCAGAGCTTTCTTGCGCATGCGCCTTACTGGCCAGCGCAGCGACTCCCTGACCGCTTCGCTGTAACCTAAGACAGCGCCACACAAACAGCCAGTTTGATATTTCTGCTTCACCCACGCAACTCGCACCGCTCGCATTTAATCGCCCACGTAGGACACCAGGTAAGTGGTACATGAAATTCTTCTGAAGACAATTCAATTCAGTGGTACGGAATGCATTGACCATCTAGAGGGACAATGTTGGTAGAAAGGCATATCATCTAAAATTCTGAATAGATTTGACAGAAATCTGTTCATGAAGTATACTATCGAATGTAAGTTCCCAGGTTGTCAAGAAGATGACAATACAGTTAGATGAATAGAACTTCCCAAAGAGAACACCACTAAAGGAGAAAAAGTCAAAAACAACATTGTCTGCAGTAAGCATAGGAAACAAAGCGAGACTGCCAGGACTGTGAGGTGGCTCTGTGTGTCGATTGTTTTATATATATAAAACTAAGGTAAAATTAAATGTTTTAAGAATCCACAGTGTTAAATGATTATGCCATAAAAACTGAACTAAATCACTTAAAATTCAAAGAAATTATGACAACTTTAAATAGCTCCTATTTTCACAATGACGGAGGCTGCAAGGACCTCTGAAACGTTGGTAAACATCGACCAGACTACACAGCACAACAACCCAGAAGACAGAAAGCTTCATAATTATAACTACTCCTACAGTTTGATGAACCAAAGGAATGTGAAAATGCATTACCTTTCAGCGCTAATAAGAACAACGACATTGGTACAGTAGTCTTGAAAAGGAATGCTCTGGCCCATAAAATAAGGGATCAGAGAATGATGACTGTATATACAGTATTGATTCAAATGTAATTTTCATATAATATAATATATAAATTATCATTATTGAGTATGTTCTTTAATATTTGAGTTCCTTTATTGTTCCTACTCCACACATACCCAAAATATGATGCGTGCAAGAATTATATATACGCAAAACATATTTTGGTATATTTTACACATTTACTTTTGAACTGGTGACTTGTAAATTTGGCTACAATCTGAAAACATGCATCAAGATTCAAAGCAATACAAGTTTAAATTAGCGGTAAACACTTCTCATTTGTCTCAGAACTTTACTATTCATCATTATGTAGTTCTTGCATTCAGGTATAAATTTGCCGTTTCCTTCTTTGGTAATAAATAATGGCCTACCTGGGTGCTTAGACATTCTTGGGTGCATTCTGAAATTATAAGTAAGCGACCTACAATAACCAGACCAACTTGCCAGTGCCAGAGCTTACAAGCACTTGTACCCTTTGAGGGTCATGTGACATAATAACTGTCAATATTTAAAAGCTTAATTATACTGGAGTACCAAAGTCTGGGTCTCCAAAACTATCCACTACAAGTCTATCTGCATTCTTCCTATGTTCACAACTGGAATGAGTAGGGCTATTTCCAAGAGCTAGAACAGAAACCTGAACCATGCCTCTTGAGCGCCCGTCTCGTCGTTTCGAGCTGCCTGTCTTGCAATGCGGTGTCGACTGCTCTTCATCAAAACTACTACTTGTGCTGCTACCTTCAGCAACATTCTGAACCATCCTGTGCGCTTTTCCGCTTCGGCGACCTTTATCGGACAACTTCAGTATGTAATTGGATTGTTTCCTTCCGACTTTGTGGCAAATAGGTGATGGCTGTGAAGACCCACCGTAAGCAGCCGATGATGAATCACTGGACACAATTTCTGCTATAATCAATTCTTTGTCCTTTTCATCTTGCTTGAAAGATTCTGAGGGAGACTTGCTTACGATGTCGGCACTTTTACCTTTTTCAACATCTGTTACTTCATTTACTTTATTTGTAGCTTTAACAACCAAAGTATCTTCAGACGATTTTACTAGAGAATTATCAATAAACTTTACATCAACTGTATCCACAGTCTCACTGATGTCTGGTTTAAATTTGATATTGTCCGTAACTTCGGAACTTTGACTTTTATTTTCAAGAGATATGGAAGATGTAGAATTTGATTTGCCAAAAATTTGCTGTAAAGTTGAAATACCAATACCTTGTGCATTGTTATTCCTTTCAAAATTGTTCTCATTTAAAGTTACGTCCCTATTATCAACGTTATTATTTGGTGTTGACGGAACAGACGCACTTGTCTGATCCACTTCATAGGAACTCCTCTGTTCTTTCACTGGACTTTTGAATAGTGGACTCTTCCCTAAAGACTCTTCACTGTTAGAGGACCTTCCCATGTGGCTGCCTTCTATGGAAACCTGAATTGGGGAGTAAGGAGACAAATCTGTGTTGGTGTTGGAGCCATTAGCATCAGAATGGCCGCTCAGAGAGTTAGTGGAGCGACTAATAACAGTATTGGTGCAATGTTGAATAGATGTAGCATGAGCTGAGTTGTGACAACCTGTTGGTTTCTTTGTTGCTGATGTAGATGTGGGACTACCAGACAAACTGCAATCAGATGAATTCCTAGGAGGAAGTGAGAATTACCAAGTGGACACAGAGTGACATGAAATTATGAATTATTAAAAGTACTGTAACTATGAGGGCTGTACAATAAACACCGAGAATGATTCTTTGTAAAACATTTGGAAGTCTTGATGGAACTTTCATTTATGGTAGTTCTTAACACTGACAGGTGTGAGTAAGCATCTGTAGTTACAGGTCACTGTGTGTTTAGTTGTGCTTGCACTGTGACCTCGATTACAAGATACATCTGTCTAACCTCCGAAGTCGCACATCTGTCATGATGGAAGTTAAAGCATAACACCACCTTATTTAAATGATGTTAATGCTTAAAACTGTAAGTGAAGCATAAAATTTGTTTAAAGAGGCTTATGTGGAAGAGGTTAGGCCTCGGTCAACAGCACTTTGATGATTCAAAGAATTCAAAGGTTCTGAGTCATTCAAGAAATATGGGCTATGGGCTCCTTCAATGGCAATTAACTAAGTGCCTGTGAGGAAGTATGTTTTAAAAGAAACACTGTCAGTCATTGAACAATCCAGTATTGTAATGTAATACATGTATGCTCTGTATGACCCAAAATTCAAAATTCATTACAAACATTTGTTGTGACAAACCTTTGTCCTGACAACAAGAACTTACTTGCTGTGTGCTGGTTCAATTCAGGACCAAGATTGATAAAATGGCTGCTCAGGCCTGTTACAGATTATGAGCGGTAACAGACAAATATGAAATATTAGTGGTATGATGACTAATGGGAGAAAACCAAAGTCCTTAAACAAAAACACGCATCGGTGATGCAGTTATAACATTCATCCTTGGTTTCTGAACAAGAAAAACGAAGAGTAGTTTTTGAACCTAAGAGTAAGAAGAATTTGTTCTATTAATTTTTTTTAACTGGTCTTTACTTGTTATTGTTTCAGAGTATTTTAATTAAAACACATTTTGAAATTATTAATTTTTTAAGTTATATTACAATATAGGTTATTATGATTCTGTAACCTGTTTACAGATTCACACATTCAAATTAGTACAGTAGCAACAAACAGTATGGCCCATGGGAATCTTCACACAAAGTGCTCTTAGTGGCAGTCATAGTTTTAACTGTCATGGAATAACAAAAACAATAACGATGATTTAAGCGCCATCTTTTCAGGTACATACATATTCCTAACTGGGTTGCTGGAAATGAACATCATTCACAATACAACAGTAACAAGAAGATATCCAAAAACTTTATAACATTTTAACACAAACCTGTTGGGTGACTCTGGAGTTCGGGGAGCTGTCGGAGTGGATAATAAGGCACCGTTGTTTCCATTCTGTTGGTTACTGGAGTAACCATTCTGTAATGGGTGTAGGCTAACCATGTTCCTACCATCCAGCACCTCATCATCAAAAAACCGATACCTGCAGACAATACACGTCTTTTATACTTCCACATGGACAAGTAATTGCTTTTCAAAAACTTTAAACATGGCTTCTTTCTTTCCCCCAATATACAGCACGCATCGGTCACCCTTCATCCTTACCTCCTGACCAAATTCTCATTATATATGCCTCCCGTTAATTTGAAATACACACGTATGCAGTGACCTTGACTACACTAGCAATAAACAGAAATATATTACACATGACTCACGACTGCACTGAAAAATCTTTCTTTTCACATTCACAGTCTACAGAATGCACACTTAGACAAGTTTTAATATGTCCATGAACAATGTTAAGAACATCTTCCCTGATATGGTAGACATCGTTATTTCTTGAAGGTGGCTGTCTTTTGGGTTGTTGCGCTGTGTAGCCTTTACCAATTCACAGCAATTCTGAAACACTGGTGAACTTCTACAGACTACATGAACCAAAAACCCAGAAGACAGCCATCTTTATATTTGCCATCATGAGAATCTAAAAAATCACATCACTATTTTTTGGGCATACAATTTATAATATATAATATCTAGAATAAATTACAGACACTCTCTAAGGGAGTGAGTGTTTATAATTTGTTATGAAATAGCAATGGCATTACTGCACAAATATGCATAAGTCAAATAACCATTTACTGTAACTAACCTCTAAACTGTACACATACTTTCATCCTCTGTTGTAAGTTATTTATCAGGGCATGAAAATATATTTTCTCATATTATATTTACCAAATGTTGTTCATGTATTAATACTTTCAATTCCCCGTTGCTTTCTATGGGCCATTCTCAAGCATCATTTCCACACAATGATGGCTGATACAATATTTGAATATTTAAAGTACAGTCTGTATTTATCATCAAACATGAATTACTTTATAAAAAAGTGGAAGATTTCCCACATAAAAAAGTTGTGTCAAAATTCTGTTATATGAAAACTATTACATAACCATAGAACTAATGAGTTGATAAGAATGCTACACACAACCATCTGCAGGTTTTGTACAATCCACATATAAGGTGCTATAAAAAAATCTCTGAGTCACACTAATGTCACAACACAAATGATGACAAAGTATACTTTCATAAGTAGTTCCACACCAGTCGCCCCTGTCTAGCGTGCTTCAGTGAGATTTATGTTCCTTTGGGTGAGACAAGTGTTCATTTGGAGAGCAAGCATTAGAGAGAACACCAATGTTTGAGTGGTTTGCCAAACTCAAAAATGGGCAATGACATCTGCTGAAGATACAGAATATGCAGGACATCCATCAACAGCCAGAACAGATGAGTATGTTGCTGAAGTTCATGAGTTACTACTCAGAAAACAGGCTTCTCACCATCCATCATTTGATCTGAACAGAGTGAACACAAGACAGACGACAGCAAAATTTGTGCCACGTGCTGGATGACGACAAAATGTAGAAGCACATCGATGCATGTCATGATCTTCAAGAAGAGGTTCAGAATGACCTAACGTTCCTTTCAAAGGTCAATCAGAATAGAACATTATTCAGAAATATGTGTATCTGTTCATAATAATATGTTCATAGCATGTAAAATAAATTTAAATAAAGTTTCAGTTCACTGTCATCATTTATAACCTTGCAGCCTGTGAGCCATTAAGCAAGAGTGAAATGTGAAAAATGGACCTAGGTCTGGAAAAGGTTGAGGCCCCTGCGCTAGATGGAGGTGAGTGGTCAACATTACACAACACTTAAGTTATATTTACTGATATCACGAATTTAAATTAATTATTATGTGTTCTTTGCACAAAGCGTACAAGGAGAATGCATTATGGACTGGTCATGCCCGTCCAACCGTCCATCCAGTTGATCCTATGCAAGAACCACTGGATGGATTGGGATGAAATTTTATGTGGAGCTTTCATCATTATGTATAACCTCAAAATTGTACTTTTGAATGTCCTACAAGCAGCGATAAATAAAGGATCAATGAGGAAAGTAGTGACGTAGACCATAAGATGCTGTGATCTGGTAGTCAAAGTGGGAACTAATGAACAATGAGAATTTAATACCTCTAAATGCACAGTGCAAGGAATATATGTGTATTCTGGTACAGAATACACTTTCCAAGTTATTTCAGTACATGGAATGATAAGCACACAACCTAAAACTCTAGTAACCCTGACAAAAGAGGTGAAACATTTTCAAGAGTGGATAAAAATCATTACCTACCCCTCCTGTAGGCTGAATCTTACCTGAAGCCATACATGTCCTCTCCGAGGGAATTCTCCTCATCTGTGTCGTCTGCTGCGACATACTGCACTTCCAAACAGATGTCACCCAGTCGTGATGACAGAATATCCACTGCTTCTTGATGAGAAGCCTACAAGAATTTCATTCCTCTGTACTATCGTTTGAGATATAGTGATAAACATTCTTAATTCTTTAGCTTTGCTGCTTAACTCAATTTGATGGTCTGCCAGATTCAGGCCAAAAATCTAAGAATGGGGGTTAAAAAAATGACACTGACAGCTGATAATATGTTCTAACAAATAGCTCTTAAGGGGGTCAGTATTCTGTATTCTGATGCACAAAGCTGGAGAAATGCTAGCTGGTATGGCACAGCAATGCTTGATCATAAGAACAATCTATGTTACAACTGTTACCTGTTTTAGATCTTGCCCATTTGCAGTAAGTATTGCATCTCCAACATACAGTGCACCACACTTTGCTGCTGGTCCATCAGGCTCCAGTTCCGAGATCAAAATGGGCACACCATGTTCACGGCCTCCCTGAATGATATAAAATTGGAGAAAAAAAATTAAAGAATACAAAATGAAACAGAAGAAAGAACAGCACCCTCATGTAAACTGGCGTAAGTGACGTCTTTTCTGAATATTTAAAAAGTACTTTATGACCAAAACAAGAAAATGCAAGAAAAAATATGAAATAACTACCTATGAGTAGACGCAGAAATTGCAATTTTTATTTAGTCAAGCACTGATAATCAGCTGATACAATGTTAATATGATTAAGGTGAGTAATTCATGAACTGAAGGAAGAAATTACTTTCTAATTGACACAACTGAAATATTTCTACTGGCCTGTTACAGTAAAAGGACTGCAACATGAATAAGGAATTTACCACTTCATATTTACATGGATATAAAAAGAAGTAAATTCCAAACCGAATTATTTCCTTCATATTTAATGTATTTAGCAGCTATTCCATGCCCTCTGCCCCATCAGGTATCAAACACCAGTCGTCCAGTCTGTAGCCAGTTGCTATACTGACTGAGCTACCCCGGCCCTGGCACATCATAGTATGAACTAAAAATTTATGATCTTGGAAAACTAATGCCAAATCACAGCTATGATTTCACTTCCAACAAACAGGTGAAGCTCATGTCTACTGACCTTGAAACACATGTCTGTCTCTCTCATTTTCTATGCCACAATATAATGCAAATATTAGCAAATACTACTTCATAAGAACAACCCAATAAAATGTAAAATTTCGAAAAATATATGTATTTCACACTCAAATCCAAGATAACCCTTCATTTTTTTAAGTCTGGAAATTAGGAGAGAAAAAAACTTGTTATTCTTTTGGTAAATATGGTATGTCAGAAATATGATGTCATTATAGTATGGTCTGTGCATCAATGATCATGATGAAAAATAAAATAAAGAAGATATGCCCAGTTCAATTGCAAATTTGGGAAAGACTGCAATTATTCAATTTCAGTAACATAACAGCTCACAGAACACCAGTGTTCTACACAAACACAGTTCGAGAATCACTGTCACACATCATTTTTTGACCCTACATTGAGTGGCACCACTCCCATCTCATATATTTGTGTGCACATCAAGCTGGTATTGCCAAGTGTAAGAAATTAAAAGTACACGTCTGGGGTCACTGTCACCCTCGGTGGATTAGTGGTTAGCGTGCTCGCCACTGGACCCAAGGTTCGCGGGTTCAAACCTGGCTGAGGTCGATGGATTTTTAAGGGCGATAAAAACCCATAGCGCAACTTCCTTCGGAGGGAAGAAAATGTTGGTCCCATGTCGTTGATTTACGGCATGTAAAAGAACCTTACGAGCATGAAAGACATGTTTCGTAAGCAAAATTCAGCGGCCATTTCTCACCCAAGTCTCTCCCGATTCACTACTACATGGCTCCAGCAGACAAATGAAGACTGAGTAAAAATTGTGCAGAGGCAGTGGGCTTGTCACTCACTACTCATAAATGCACGCTTCAAAAGACAAAGAAACCTCTCAACCGGGAGAAGGCCAAGGCTCGACTTCGGGCTGTTGCGCCATGCAGTCAGTCAGTCTGGGGTAACCTCCAATAGTACAATGTCCATACCAAATTCTAGCAATCCAACCCAGGAACAGACTGATATGACCAGTTTAATCAAAATGAGTATATGAAATGATAGAAGTGCTCACCGTAATAGAGATTCCCAGTCCATCTCCGGCTTCTCGCTGCACAGTGACAAATCTAGGTTCACCGATACCCTGCTGGCTTCTATTATCTGTTGATGGAGGTTCAGATGTTGGTACTGCATTATCACCACCTGCACCACTTCCTCTGCCACGACAAGCCCTTATCACAGTTTTGTGGCGATGCAACAAGATTTCAGATTCCAACTGTCGCCACAATTTGTCCTTAACTTCACCTCGCATTTCTCGTCCAAGTAACTGCAGCTGCTGTATTCTGCAGAAAAACACTAGTGCAATATATTCAAAGTTCAAACTACGGTACATGTATGCTGACAAACACAGTTATCTGTGAACCCAAGTTTTATTTCTTTCCCATTCTTCCTAAAATGTTTTTCCATCAGCGTTGTCAAACAAAAGGGATACAGGGTGGAAAATGAGACTGATATTCACACTGCCATAACAGAGAGGTTGTTCTAAAATGTGGGATTCATTTTGTCCTCACTGAGTTTTGGTTGAAAGAGGATATTCATCAAGATCTTCTAACTTTAAAATGGTTTGATAGAAGGCAGTAAAGGGGCCAAAGAATCAGACAATTCATATTAAGACTTGCATGTTACTGATGTATTAAGAAAAGAGAGTAAGTGTGTAGCATTCCAAACAATTCTTTAAATAATATTTAATGTAAATGAAAGCACCTCTCTGAAAATATATCATGACTGGCTTAATTTTTAGCAATCATTTCATAAAAATAACCACTGTAGGATTTCAACAGTCATTCACACAAATTATGCTTTTACATGGAAAAGGGAAGTGCAATATAAAAGCAATCTACATTATTGTTAGGCAGAGGGTCCTTGTGCAGATTGCAAATGCATTGTAAGAACCCATGAATTCTTTGCTGTAGTGTTTTTATAAAATAGATATTAATAACACTGGGTGGGAAGGCAGGGTGCCGGGATAACTCAGTCAGTATAGTGACTAGCTATGGGCTGGACACACTGGAGTTCAATCCCTGACAGGGGCAATGGATTTTTCCTCTAGCCTCTGCATCTAGACCGGCTCTGGGGCCCACCCAGCCTCCTATCCAATGGGTACTGAGGGTCTTTCCCAGGGGGAAAGCACAGCTGGGGCGAGATGCTGACCACTCACCCCCATCTAGTGCTGAGGTCAAGAAAGAGTAGGAGCTATACCTCCACTCCCCCCAAATGACCTACATGGCATGTAGCAGGATGCCCCCCCTTTTTTGGGTGGGAAGACGTGGACTTGATTCGTTTTACTCAGGACAGGTGAAAGCAGCAGGTGCCTGAGAACATGGTATTCAACCTTCAGTTTCATAAATGGCAGGGATTTCTTGACAGAGTGGCTATCCCCTTAAAAAGAAAGACTCTGCTACATGGAGTTAGTTAAATACAAATTTATATTAATACTTCTCAGTTAGTTACTATAATTTTAAACCAGTATGAACCAGTTTCAATTGGTTACTGAATCTTTACAGGTCTGAAAGCACTGAACCAGAATATGAGATTGCTTTTCAAACCGAATATGAACCACACCTTTATTTAAAATGGTTCAAAGTCCTGCTCTGAATACAGTGTCCTCATTTCTTAGGCCCACTTTTAATTACTTCCCTCATTAGAAAAAAATAATAACAATTAATAGTAGTCTGTGAGTATGTATGCATTACAAAGTTATAATTTAAGCAATGAATTCCTATCTAGCTTGCAAAGTACGCGCATATCCGATATGAGGCTAGGTGTGTAACAGAGCCGTTTCCAACACAGTCGAACAGAAAAATGAACCTTGGTCATCCAATACATGGTCTGTCACTTTATTGGCTGAACTACACATATGAAGATGCTTTATTATCAAGTTTGATTTGACACACAGACACGCACGCACCTGCCAGCCAATTCCTTATCTAGGTATTTTGCTACAAGCTTAGCACCATACAATTCACTGTGTACAGCGAGCAATGTGTTGCGCAGAGCTGTGTTTTCACTCTGCAGCTGTGACAGTTCACTGCGGAGAGATGCTACTTCCATGACGCCAACCTGCGTTCCATCTTCTTTAACTGTATATGAAAATAAAAAATATTTAGTAATGTCACATAAAACCTATTCTAAGGTTTCCTTTCAAAACATAACCTCAAAAGTCCATGTCACAAAGGAAAGCTTCACATAAAACTCAGTTTGCAAGATATTTTTTCACCACATGCACCTTCAATAGTTCATCAGGTACTGAAATGAACCTGAAAGTCAAATATAACTCTTTTTTTATGTTTGCAATGTTGTTACTTTTAATTCTGGTTGAAAATGACCCCAACATACTGTATACCTATCATCACACAGGATTTTAGTATTGTACAGGGCAAGTCTAAATGATGTTCCCGATTTGAAAGACATGCTACTCATGTTAGCATCGACCAGACTACACGGCGCAACAACCCAGAAGACAGAAATCTTCTTACTCACCACTGTGAAAACCTCAAATCTTGCATGCTACTCATGTTTAACAAAATTCAGATGCACAAAATTGGTACTGATGGAAAGAAAAATTCTCCAAGTTTTGTTTCAGTACATCACAGGTGTTCAATATGAATCCCCTTGGTAACTCTGCACACATCCAGCCTGTAGTCAAGTTCCTCCCAGACACGTTGCAGCATATCATGATTGATTGCTGCAATGACTGCTGTGATACGTGCTCGCAGATCAAACAAGGTCTGTGGTAAGGGTGGCACGAATACTCTATCTTTGACAAACCCTCACAGAAAAAAATTACAGGGCGTCAGGTCCGGTGAATGTGGAAATCCAGGACACAATAGGCTTCCCTGTCTTCGATGGCAGCCATTTCCTCTCATATCGCCCATGGCGACGAACAGTGTTACTACATGTATACCAACATAAACTTGGAGATTTTCTCTTTCCATTGGTACCAATTTTGTGCATCTGAATTTCATTAAACGTGAATAGCATGTGTTTCAAATCAGGAACATCATTTAGACTTGCCCTGTATATGTTCAATGGCGTTCTTCATGCCATATCATGGGCACTGACGTCAGCAGGGCAACCAAAGGAATAACGAATGCAACAACGGTATTCAAAGTCTCGTTGCAATAATGTGGTCCAATAACGTTAGTCAACAGCAGCCCCAGTTCGCACTGTTCCAATAAAATGTAAAAACAATTATCTCAGTTTACACTGTTGCAATAATGTGTACCAACAATAAACTTGGTTCACAGTGTTGTGTTTCAACAATGACCTCAGATCATGGGAGAGATAACAATGTGGAAATATGTCACTTGACTGGTTAAGCATAGTTTCAGACAACTCTTCTTTTCTGAATGCCATCAGATACTGTGATAACTCCTTAGCTCGGATCAGAATTGTGTGCTTTGTACCAACTTTACTTGTGGTATCACTTAGATCTGCAGGTTTCATGGACTAATTAAACAATACTCACCTGTAAAGGAGTTTTTCTATTGCTATCTGCCCCACTTCAATACGTGCCTTATATGATGGCATTAGACCACAAACAAATGTTTCTCAGTCTTTTGGCAATGGTTTTGCACTTTGTCAGTGAGATTTTCAGATTGCATTCATCACAAAACTTATTATCAAGGTCAAACTGGTATTCAATGCACACATTCTGCAATAGCTCTAAACGTAATTCAAAATGTTTTAGTTTCTACCAGACTAAACAGTGCAACAACCCAGAAGATGTTACTGTTTTGTAGAAGCAAATTTTTTCTTAAAATGGACCATTCTAAAGAAAATTTACAATTTCTGATATAAGGACATTGGCACAAACTTCTGACTTAGACTGCAATTTTTAAGAAAAGTGATGGGATTCAGATCATGTGACCGAGCCATAAAATATCCTGCAGTAACCAAGGAATAAATTTCTCTGTACAAACATTTTCCAACAGGCATATGGCTGGCCATAGACTAAAATTCTCAAAAAGTCAATGACGGTGAATTATGCCAACATGATACTGATACAATGCATCAGTCACCATCATAAAACTTTAGAAACTCATTTCATGTAAAGTATGAACTCATAAACTGGCTCCAAAATATGACCCTGATAACAGACATCCAACAAACATCTCAGGGTAAAGAAATATAGTTAAAAGATAAAGTAAGATTTGAGGTTTCCACAGCGGTGTGTATGAAGATTTGTCTGCGGGGTTGTTGCGCTGTGTAGTCTGGTCGATGTTTACCAACGTTTCAGAGGTCATACTGCCTCCGTCATCAGGGTGATTCATCGACCAGACTACACAGCGCAACAACCCAGAAGACAGAAATCAAAAAAGATAAAGTCTTTGTGGAAATAACAAGTGAACTACATTCAGTAAGTGGACATAACACAGGCTAAGCTGTCAACATTTACAACGACGCAGACTAACTTCTGTGCTGGTGTGTTGGAGACCGTTGTAACTCTTCCTCCAGTCTTCTGAGGATTCGTTCTGCATCTGGTTCCGTGTGTACACCTGGCAGGTGCTGCAGCTGACAGGCATGTAGTTGTAACAGCAGCGTGTGTAGCTCTTGCTCCAGCACTGAGCGCTGTGCCTTGGCATCGACCAACTCTGCTCGAAGGTACACCAACTCTGCCTGCAAGGACAAAAACCAATATACTTTCTTATTCTGGTTTACACTAATTGTTAGTTATTTCTACACAAGACAAAATGCTACCATACTCAGAGGAACTACTACTTTCCTTAAAAACATGTCTCGCATAATACACTGTAAATAAATGCTAGTTATGTACGATTTGAGGTTTTCAGAGCAGTGAGTATGAAGATTTCCATCTTCTGGGTTGTTGCGCTGTGTAGTCTGGTCGATGTTAACCAACGTTTCAGAGGTCATACTGCCTCCATCCCAACAGACATGATGATCTTCTTCATACGCATGTTGGGCCAATCTGGATTTCTCCAGCAGGCCCTATATGAAGTTATATTTGTGTTCCTTTATGCGTACCTCCAGAGGTCTGCTGGTTTCGCCAATTTACCATCTACCGCAATCACACGGGATCCCGTACACACACTGCCTAGTCTGTCTCTCGACTGTTCTGGGTCTCATGGACATCAATAAACCACGGAGAGTATGACTGGTTTTAAAAATCGTCCTGATATTATAACGGTTCCCAATACTTTTATGGCCTAACATGCGTATGAAGAAGATCATCATGTCTGTTGGGATGGAGCCAGGGTGTTACTAACAGAACCTAATACCGTCTACAGGAAATACAAGGAGGCGGCACACATGGCACTACTTGCCAATCCTATCAGCCAGCATAGTTTGGATTTATCTCTTATTTGGATTCCGGTCAACTCTGAAGAAGTCCAAGTTGTGCATCGAGTTTCAAATTAATGTTCATATGTATTTATTCCCACATTTTGTGAGTTTTTGTTTTATTTGGCTTTATCGTGTTTAACGAATTTTATTTCTACTATTTTATTCTTTTACGTCCCACGGATGGATGGTGTGGTGACGTCTTTTTATTCCGGGACTTTCACTTTTTTACTTTGTCCGGAGATAGGGATTAGCTCTATCTAGTGGGCCCAACTGAGTAGGAAACTGAAGACGGAGATAGAGCCCCATCTCCGAAAGGTCGTTTTACGTTTTATATTTTACTAGACGATGGATAATATCCAAGAAAATTTTTATTCAAATGACTCTTCACCATCGTCAAGAAGTTTTAGATTTCATATACTTATATATGTACAAAACATTGGTTACATGTTACCATTGTCTAAAATAATTTTCTATTTGGTGAATATACAAGGCAAAAACTGGTTTCATAATTAGCAAATAAGACCATTTCATATTTAGTCAACAAATCAGAAGTTTCCCATACAAGTAAAAAAAATCTGACAAAACGTTCTGAGATCAAAGATGTACAGAAGAGAAAAACACACTGATAAAAATGCACAAACAGGCTTTCAGACCTAACAATGGACAAAAGAAAAGCAGGAATATGGTGTTTTTACATAACATGTAAACATTAAAACTGTATAAAAACAAAGGAACTACAACAAAATATAGTCCCATAACAAACTTGTCATGGAAAATCAGGTTTTGGATCTGCGTACATATATAAAAAAGAAAGCAGATGTGCTTCCAACACAAAAAAAATTATAACGACCCTTCAATTGCTTATTAAGCAACACACAACATTATGAAAGACACATTATGGACATAAGCTAATGTAAGAAATGATCTGATGGAAGAGAAATGTTAATGACAAGTTCTGGTGAAGGTCTGCTTTATGTTTAACTAATGGCGCCTACGTTATGTTGGACAGCAAGATACTGCAGAACATTTTGCAAACAGAACTTCCTTGGTGCTACAGTGCAAATGGTACATGTAACACTTTTCTATTTAGATACCGTTTAAAGAAAAACATGTGAACAGATCTCAGCAGCATTCTCAGCACATGATCTAAAGCGAACCACACACACATATGTGTTCGGTCCATCAATCAGTACTACTGGCCTCGAGACATGTTATTCATGTTAAAAACTTTGTGGCACCTTCTAAAGTACTCGCAGATACAGGTCTGCATAAAGAATAGAACACGAATCTGACATCTGAAATTAGCCAGCTATACTTCACCTGGATTCTGTTACCAAGACTAGAACTGTTCATAGATTTTATTTAAGACCAACCAGAAGAACCACTTTATAGATCACAATTTGACATTATGTAAGGTCTGTAGCTGACAGGTTCAATAAATAAATAAACAAACATATTAGCACACGAACTGCGACAAATTTCTTAAAGATTTATTATCAACTGTTATAGATATGGCAAACCAATTCCAGACATTTTTTACATTTTTGCAACTTTTAGCTGCAAATGCTCCTAAAAAATTAACTGAATATTAAAATGAGGAAGAATAAAAAGAGAAATCATACTGTAAAAAAAATAGTTTGTAAAGTTAGAAAGAGACAAAATTATAGAAATGGCTTGTCAATTTTCTCAAAATATGTTTTTTATATCCTCAACTACTTTAAAAAAATACAGATTAAAATACACAACACCAAAATTTTACTACTGGTTGGTCTCCTCTGGTCTGGCTAGTAGTGTGCTGCCAGACCACTCTAACTAGAGAAATATAAATGAAATGTTTCCTTTTCCAATTCAGTAACAGCTCTAAAGTTTGCACGAAGTCCTATTAGCTTCGCTGCCACATAATTTGATCACCTTCATACACACCGAAGAAGCAAAGCGTTCCACCACTTGAATATGGGTGCCAATCTGTGCTTTCACACAAACGTTAGAATGAAAAAGAGAGACAGAGAATAAGCCTCTTTTACAATCCCAGGATGTGTAATCATCATCATCATCCCATATTGCATACCTCACAAGTATTTTTCCTTAGCGTAGGATTCTAGTAATGATGGTACATTAGACCGATTGTTTTTAAAACATTAATTTTGGTATATTAACACCTTTTCTTCTGGAAACAATTAATATTTGTGACTGATAAATGTATTATTCAGGATTTATTATAAAACCACTTTCAGAAAATTTTAATCGAGAAACTGAAGATAATTAAATTACCCACCCTCTCCAACCTTGCAAGTGTACAAAAAACAGTATCCACACGAGGAATTTTCAGATTTCACAATATATTTACCTGGAGTAAACAGACAACAAAAGTTTGGCCACGTTTTCTGTTTTCAAAGAGTAATAAAGCTTGGAGTTTCAGAGGATTTGACAACCTTAATAATTTATATACTTTATAGAAAAACAAATATTCTGCAGGACATCTGCAATGCACACTGGGCCTTCTGCAATTTGGTCATCAAAGTACTGATAAGGCTGTTGACAATTAATTTTAACATGATAACAGTTCATAGAAACTGATAAATTTTATACGACTTGCTTAATAAGGCTGTTGACAATTAATTTTAACACGATAAAACAGTTCATAGAAACTGATACATTTTATATGACTTGCTTGATGGCAAATCAGGAACTACCATTTGGAGGTCATCATGAATTTGATTTGTTTCTCAACACAGGTAACTACAGGTCTACATAATTTTAAAAAACTGCCAAATTTCCTGAATGAACGCCTAGAAACCACCATTGTTTTCAGAGTCACATCATCTGACATTCAAAATTATTTGATGAAACATAAAAGTCATCCATGAAGTGATGTCAAATGAAATTTCATGACAAATTTAAAAAGAATCTCACGTTGCAGTTATGTTGGACAAGACTGATGATTTCAGTTGGCCTGTGTATTGAAGTTCATTCATGATGGTAAAATTCAGCAAACAGTATGTTGGTTCCACTGACATTACTTTTGATTGTCTTTTCAGTCATGTACAGAATGAAGTTTCAAAGTTCAATTTTGAATGTACGCTTGTAGCTCAAACATATGATGGGGTGTCAATTACAAGTAGGCAACAGAGTTGTCTTCACCATGAAATATTTGAGGCAAATTCACATGCAAAACTATCTGCATGTACTGAACCTTGTAAGGAATACAATTTTTTTAATTTTTTCCTTACAGCACCTTTCCATCACATTCAGACAAAAGGATTTTTGTCTTAAGTGAATATCTGAAGAATAAAATCTCTTCACATGCTACCAGAAAATCCTTCTGTTTGTGTTTGGTAAATTTAACTAAGTGCGGAATCTTGATCTTGGAGTATTTTTTGAAATAGTGAGGAGAAGGGAGGGGTGGAGTGCAAAATATGAAATGGCAGCAATTAGATACAAGAAATTTCAAACAGCTTTCTCACTACAACTCTTTTCTTCAGTGTTTACACATTCTGATATTTTGTTTCATACACCACAAACAAAAGTCAGTGTAGTGAGCTGTTAAAATAAAATAATTTTGAAGTCTGAAGATTTCTGTCTTCTGGGTTGTTGCGCTGTGTAGTCTGGCAGATGTCCACCAACGTTTCAGAGGTCATACTGCATCCATCATCAGGGCGATGAAACGTTGGTAAACATCGACCAGACTACACTGCGCAACAACCCAGAAGACAAATCTTAAGACTCAATGCTGTGAGAACATCAAATCCTACAATTTTAAAGCCACCTACAAAATTAATGCTGCACAGGGTTTCTCCACTTCTGTGGAAGTCACAAAGTTATGTGATACAATCCAAAGAAATAAAAGTGGTAAAATACAACATAGTAAATTCTGTAAATGTAAAGAACAGAATAAGTTTCTACAAAATTATTGACAAACAAATAATTTATCTGTTAACTTTTTTCTCAAGACTGAAAAAAATGGAACTGAGAGAAATTTGGCACATATACACATGTTTAAGGCTTCCTTTCCTGAACAGCTAAAATGAAAAGTGAGTTTATGATACAATGATTTCATAGCTACCACTTTTAAATAAACTTATAACTAGCTAATATAGTATTGAACGTCCCATCTACAACAGATGCTGTCAAAGCTTTACAGCACTAAAAAGAATCACAGTCGGAAAAGACAGAGTCGTCTCTGTAAACAATCAAGTAGAATACCTAATTTCAGACTTGATAAAGCATAATTTATATTATGAGGCCAATAAAAACCGCAGTGGCCGCTTGGTCGCTGGGACCATGGGTTCAAATCCCATTCCAGCCATGGATGTTTG